CAAGCGCAAGGGCCTGAGTTCAATTCCCGGTTAAAAAAAAAAAAAAAAAAAAAGCTGTGCTAAAATAAAACAGCATTTGGGGACGCTCAGGCAGGAGAAACACAAATTCAAGTGCCCCTGGGCAGCTTGATTAACCCTGAGAAACAAAAAACTTGGTGGCTCACAGTTGTAATCCCAGCATTCAGGAGGCTGAGGCAGAAGGATCACTCAGAGATGGAGGTCAACATGGACTATTACATAGTAAGTTCATGGCCAGCCTGAACTACACAGTGAGACCCTGTCTCACGCACGACGACAACGATTTTTAAATGCGGTGGGTATGTCACTTTATGCAAAGGCCTGGGGTTCAATCCTCCGTACAAGACCAAACAACAGCAACAATAATGCTGTGTTACTCTTCCCATCGGGTCTATGTCTTTGTCCATTATTTATAGGCTGTCTAAACAGCAGAACTCATGGATTTTCTTATTCCGGGAACTTTACTCAGCAAGCAGGCCAAAGAAGGTTTAAATACCTGACCAGGTAACATAAAACAAACTTAATGGCTGAGCTATAGCGACTAACAAATATCACAGTAACACATGTGTGCAGTACTCTGGGAGGCTGAGGCAGGACGATCACAAGTTTGAGCCCAGCCTGGGCGGCTTAGCGATTTAAGCGATACCCTCTGTCGGACAGTGGGGATGAGTACTTCTCAGAGCGAAGGCCCACCGAATAAAAACTCCAAAGGCGACAAAACGAACTGCACCCTGGGTTAGTGCAACTTTATACACTGACTGGTGACATCTTCGCGTCTACCCTAACGGGGCCTTATTTTCATTTCACCAAAGAGGAGACCAATCCGAGGGGGTAAATGAGGCGCGGACGCGGGGCGAAGCTGCTCGGCCCCTGCGCGCTGGAAGGGCCCACCCAACTCACCCTCGGCGCTGTCGCGGATGCGGTGGAAGTCCTCTGAACGGCCGTCGCGGAACGCCCGGCACAGCGAGAGGCAGAGGAAGTCCAGCATCCACCCAGCAGCCACGGCCTCGGCCTTCGCCGCCACGTCCGCGTCGTCCTCCTGCTCCTCCTCAGGGACTCCAATCTCCACCTGGCAGTCCAACAGCTCATGGCACTCTATCTGCTCCTGGTCGTTCCTCGCCTGTTCCATTAGCTCGGGCTCCGCGGCGTCCGTATCCTCCCCGTCGCCACGCCCGCGCGGGCTCGGAACTGCCAAGGCACCACTCTCCGCCATGTTGAACCTCTCGCGCCTCTCAGCGCGTCTCAGCGCGCCGCGCCGTGATTGGCTCCCGGTGGGAGGGCGTAAGGCGTGACCACACTGAGTCGCTTCCGCTGCGGGGGGGAACTAGCCAATCACACAGCCAGGATGGGAGCAGGTGTTGAGCCTGGCTTACGATTGGCTGAGACCTGCTTGCTCCTCCGGACCTATAATTCCTCTCCAGTCCCCGGCCAGGGTTTGTGGGTGGAGCCCGGGACCCAGACGAGGGGAGACCACAGTGATCTGTTGGGGCGGTGGGGCTGCTTCATCTTCCTTTTAAAATGCAACTTTGTTGGAAACAAGCTTAGTTAACATTAAAACGCATTTTTCCAGCCGCTACTTCCAAAGGTCATTAGAAATAACTGTAATTCAAGCTTAATGCTTCAGACTCCAAACTAATTCACATATGCAATTGGCTACAGTATTATAGGCAGCTAAATTAAGAGATTAATATATAGCCAGGGAGATATTGGGCTCTTAAGGAAGTCAGAACAAAAAAAGGCATCAAAATTGTGGCTGGAGGGGGCAGGGAGATGGCTCAGTAGAATAAGCACTTGCCTGGCAAGCACAAGGGCTTGAGTTCAATCCCTGGTTCCGCAAAAAAAAAAGAAAAAAAAAAAATTGTAGCTGGAGGCACATCTGAAGTCCAAGGGGCTCACGTGGCCCAAGGAATAAACGGCAATTTGAGATTATACTGTAATCGGGCACCACCTAGCCAGGAATTCAGCTAGGCATCAGATGTCCAGGAGAGTGACGAGAGCCTCTGGACCCATCCTTTCCTCAGCGCGCCATTGTTCTTACTACGTGTCCTTGCTATATGCCTTACTTTCCTGTTGGGTCACTATTAGTGAAGTGGCTGTACAGCATTTGGAATTTTATAGGCTAATTACAGTTTGACCTGCCTTGTATCTATGTTGTGACTTTGCTGTATAAATTTCCCATAAAGACCCTCAGTGGCTAACCCACTGGGGGACTGCTACTGGAAACCCAGGAGCTATTCTTCCCTGTAGTTCCGGTAAAACTCTCCACATTTCTTTTGGTTGTGACTTCATTTCTCAGCACATTTGACATCTAACAGGTCGGGAGTTATTTTTCTCTTATATCAACTCTTCTAAAGAACTGACATCCTTGCCTTCCAACTCTTGCCCTCTCCATTGAAACACAAATTGCGGAGCTCCAGTCCTGGAGTTTCAGTTCTATATTTCTGGTTAGAGATCCTTGAATATGCAAGACTAATTGGTAAATTCTCTGGTAGTGCTGAGGCTGCTTATCTTGTTGTAGGCAACTGAATTAGATAGAAATATTATAGGCAGAAATATTATAGTCAGACAGAGCCAGGCCCTGGAGGAGACAGTTATGGAAGACAAGGTGCCTTTACAACTTGGAAGAGACAGACACTCCTGTATGGGCCATAACTCAAGACAAAAAAGTAAACAAATGCAGCCACATACTTCTCTATGGATGGGCATCAGGGATTGATATTCTAAATAGGTATCAATCACTTTGAAAGACCTCAAAGAATAACTTACCCAGCCCCCAACAGGAAGAGACCTAGTTGCATATTTATGCCTGCTTGCTACGTGCCTTGCTTTCCTATTGGATCCTAATTTAATCAACTTTATCTGAGCAATTGTGCTAGTAATCTCATTGGTTGATCAGTTTTGTCCCACCTCATGCCCACCTAAGTGATTTCCCAAGTTCTCTACCTACCTCACAGCAAAGTTTTACTCAATAAAAATTCTTGGAAGAGACAGCTTCCTAGGACAACCTGTTTAGGTCCTCTTTGTCCCTCTCTAGGACAGGATCTTCCTTTTCCCCAATAAATATATTCTGCTTTTTGATAGGTTATGGCCCTAGTAAGAATTGCTGAATTATTATGGTGGTCGTCTGATATGGCTGAAGCCCTTAAAACAACAGCTTTTTTTTCCCCCAGAGCTTAGAGGTTTATTTTCAGTCTGTGTAAGACTAAAGTTCAAAGTAAATTTATTTTTGCTTAAGGGAACATTGTAAAGTAACAATTGTTGGTATTATATGCCTCTTAAGATCCATCAAAAAAAAAAAAAAAAAAAAGATCCATCCTAAACCAGAGAGAATTACATTGTTGTGTCACCGTTCCAAGACACAAAGGTGAACAGCTAAAATAACTTCAAAACGCAACAAGCTTGTGAAGTCTCAAACAAAACTTGGGGGTTTTTGGTACATACTCCCATCAGTAAAGTTAATTCCTGTACCCTACTTCTCCTACAAACTGATCTATTTCCTTTCATTTGACCTAGATTGGCTGCGAGACCTGGAGAAGGATCTGGACAGCTTGCGACTTCTCTCCCTAGACAGTGATCTCTCTCTTCTGTCTCTAGAAAGAGACCTGCTCTGGCTGCGAGAGCAACTTCTCCTTCCTGGAGATCTGTGGCAAAGCAGAGGTTTCCTCCTATGATAATCATCTCGAGGGTGACGACCCCAAGAAGGAGGAGAGCCACAATTTTGACTTCTCTTTTCACCATTGGATAGTTCCACTGTGACACGGAAGCCATATAATGTTCTTCCACCTACCTCTCAGACAGCATCTGCTGCATGTCGGGGATCCTCAAATTCAACAAAAGCAAAGCCAGGAGGGCTTCTAGCAACCTACACACTCCGCAGTGGTCATAATAGCCGAAAACCTGTTCCAGCTAAGGCTTGTTGCCATTGTTGCCAAGATTCCCTACAAAAACCTTACAGTCCAATGGGCAGGAATCAGGATGCATCTCAAGATCCAGGCTTAGAAATGCTGAGGTTCTAAACCACACGCACCCAGTGGATCTTCTTGCTCCCCTCCAACTCAGCTCCTCTACACACACTCAGTTACCCGGCATCCATGAAATGGCCTTGTTGCAGGCAGTGTGGGTTAGATAGAAATATTGTAGGTAGTTAGACAGGGACAGGCCCTCGAAGGGGATGACAAAGACCAGAC